AATTCCCACTATCCCAATTCCCACTCTCCCAGTCCCCGTTGCCCAATACCCACTATCCCAATCCCCACTATCCCAGTCCCTGTTATCCCAATACCCAAAACCCAGTCCCTGTTATCCCAGTCCCAGTCCTAGCCCGAACTTCATTCTCTCTCTCCCGGCCTCTGTAATATGAAGATCGCTCGTACCCTTTAACGCGACTTTTACCGAAAATCAGATCGTTGGATCTAAAATGTAATTTCATGGCTGCTACAAAAATGTTTTTGAAACGTGCGGTTCTTTGCCAAGTTCTGCGGGAGGATCTGAACAAGCGCAGGGTCCGCTCCAAAGACTCAGTGGCCGTCCTTTCGGCTTGTGTTCTGGGGCCACATAGCGGTAAATAGCAGAACAACAGGGAATGAGAGAGAGAGAGACAGATTGCGGATAACGGTGGACAGATAGATACAGATCGAACAGTGGGACAGCGGAACCTCGTGCTGAGCATTTGAGGAATGGGATGTGATGAAGACCTAGTGACTTGAGCCAAGTTTTCGAGAATTGTTGAAGATTATTTCACTGATCCTCCCACAAACATTTATTCAGCACAAGATGTAGCTTCAGCCTATAGTGTGGCACTGAGGGAGTGCTGCTGTGTGGGAGGTGCTCTCTTTTAGCTGAGATGTTAAATTGAGGCCCTACCCGCACTCTCAGCTGGAGGTGAAACACTAACTTTGGGGTCGAGTCACAATGAGGAAAGGTCATTGCACCTGAAGATTATTGAAGACTGAAGTCCTGGCCAAGATGGAAACATCTTGTTTTCAGTGCTCTGTCTACTCATGTTGAATCTGCTGTTGAACTTTTAATAATACTTCATCTCTTCCTAGGAGTTATTCACTTTTTGACTTGCACCTCTGTCTCTTTCTTTAAGGTGAGTTGTTAGTTGAACAATTAGTTAGATATTAAAAAAAACCCAGACTGTTATGTTAACCCAGCAGAACAATCTTGGCAAATTAATTAGAAGTTAATAATCATCATAATCCAGAGTGTGAAAAATTGTCAGTGCAAACATTATTTAACGCTCTTTGAGTTTGGATCATTTCATTTTACTCATGTAAGGAAAGGCTTGATGATATTGATTTTTCAATGAAGCATTGCAAAGAGTGTAAGAACATGGGAACAGGAAGAGGCCATTCAGCTTCTTGAGTCTTATCTCATTCATGACTGACTATATCTTAAAACTACTCACCATCTTTTCATAACCTTTAATACCCTTGCTTAATGAAAATCTGAACATCTTGGTTTGAAATTTTCAATTGACCTCAGGTTCAATGCCTTTGGGGCAAACAGTCCCAGATTTTCACTACCCTTCGCATGAAGAAATGTTTCCTGCTGTAACCCCTGGATTGTCTAACTTTACTGTAAGGTTATACCCCCTTGGTGAGGAATCTATCACCAGAGCAAATGGTGTCTCTCTCTCTCTCTCTCTCAGCCTTATCAAATGCACAACATCTTTTTCTTAAAGCAGCTCAGGTCATTTTCCAAAGAGCTAGCAAAACACAATGTGTGAAGTGTGAGAAAAGTTAAAGGACATGATCAAAGGAAAAAATTGAATGGGGAAGTATTAAGATTAGTTTATGGAAGTGGAGAGAAAGGGAGAGAAAGAGCTGGTTTAATAAGAGAAAAACTATTGGCCAAAGGCTGTGTCAATGACAGTAGAGAAGATGGCAGCAACACTGCACCAGGGACAAAGTACAGTGAGGGACCCTATGATGTGGAAGGCTGCTGATCTGCACCCTATAATTTGACCATATGCTCTACTTTGTGGACAAACAGAATAAGTCAACAATTTTTTTTATCCATTCACAGGATGAGGACATAGCTGGCTGGGCCAACATTTATTGTCCATCCCTGAGGGCAGTTAAGAATCAACCAAATTGCTATGGATCTGGAGTCACATGTAGTCCAGACTAGGTAAGGTTGACAGTTTCCTTCCCTAAAGGACATTAACGAAACAGATGGGTTTTTTCCAATAATTAGCAATGGACTGGTGGTCATCATTAGACCCTTCATTCTAAACTATTATTGAATTCAAATTCCAATATTTGCTGTGGCGGGATTTGAAGCTGGTTCATCAGAACAATACCTGGATCTCTCGATTGACAATCCAGTGATAATACCAGCTCCCCTAAACAATCTATAACTCTCCAGCAAGACTGAATTAACTCCAGACTTCTACTACATTTGTACTTTCCTTCCCCAGCATTTTCCTTAACGCCCACCTCTCTCTTTATATTACTTTATCCTAACACCATTTTGCTCATCATATGTATAATCAGATGTCCTTTGGATATTTCTGTACTAATCTCCAACCATCTATCCCTTCTGCTTGTTTACTGTGTTCAAATGATGACACATCACACCATCTTCTAATCTGACTCAAGGGCCTCATGCCGATAGAACTTCTTCCCTCCATAAGTCTTCCCTTTCCCCTACAGGGTACAGGATTTCAAAACCCAATCTTTTGTTTGAATGATCACCATTTATTCACACTTGATTTTTCTCTGTCCAACTTCAATGGTGTTTTGCAAATGTGGACCTTAGCTGTTCACCTGGGTTTCTCTGAAGAAAAAAAAGGGACTGCAGCACCTCTACTGGTGGGAGCATTTCATTACAATGTGATATGTTTACACAGATAATTTCTAACATAAATGTAGACATAGGAATTACTCTTGGAAAAATTGAGACGCTGCATGTGCAGACGTAAGTTTTTTAAAACATAATAAATAAGCCAATATGTGTTCTAAAATGGCATGTCATAACTGAAGAGAAAGAATGTTTGAGTTAATTATCCACTTTTTTAGTTATTATGATGATATAGTTATTTGTGGATCCATACAAGGTTTGGGATTGTAATAACAAGTAAATATGGAATATATCATCAGTCTGATATGGTCAGCCATTTGGGTTAGCAGAGAGACTTCCTGGGAATAATATAGGATATCATTGGGCTCTTGCCAAACTGGTAGATTTGTGCAGAGTTTAGTCAGACTAGAAGTTCCTTGTAGAGGTGCTCCTGTTCTACTTGCTTGGCAGAAACAGGGTTTTCGCTGCACTTCCCATGAAGTAATTCCAGCAAAGTGAGAGCAACTCTGACCAATTTCTCAGTGATGTGTTTCATTCCCTGGTCAGGAATGTGTCGTTGTGCAAAGCTAATACTGAATCATGTGTCTCTGCTAAAAACCACGTTTTGTAATTGAATGAGCAAGTGTGCTAACACAGTGCCCAGCTGCATTTTAACAGGGGCAAGTTAACAGGTCACTTCCTAAATCCCTTCATTCTGATCTTCCTGATCACTGCAGACATTGTGAAGATTACAATTCTCATGATTATAGCTGTCAGCTTTTTCAGAGACAGGCAGATAAAGAAGTAACAATGAGTCTAGTTTCTGCACTAATTGTGACTGCTAATTCATATATTTATAGTTAAAAAACAGACAAGCTGTCCAGGCTATCCATAGCCTGGCAATCCACCTAACCTCCACATCTTTGGATTGTGGGAGGAAACCCACGCAGACACAGGGAGAACGTGCAAACTCCACACAGACAGTCACCATTGAACCTGGGTCCCTAGCATTGTGAAGCAGCAGTGCTAACCTCTGAGTGACCATGCTGCCCCACTAGATGCATAGGGTTGAGACAGGAGAGGAGCAGGTCGAAAGGAATTTTTTTCCTTACTGGACAAGGTATGTAATATGTGTCTTTGTAAATAATTGATTGTGAATGAATAAAGATTAGGCTCCAATATTGTATTCTTCACAAATTAAGTTTGACATTAACCACTGGTAAAATGCTGTTATCACTCAGGAGGGGTTTTCTTTATTGGTCTATCTGCCCAATTTTCTCTGTCCAAACTTTCAGCATGTTGTAGCATCCACATTTGGAAATGCAGTGAAGTATTGCACTTGCCACACACCCTGATGT